TTCAGTGGGACGATGTCAACTTGAGGGTGGTGGTGATCGAAAAGTGGGTGGCGGTGGCTGACATCTGTCGCTGCCTCCACAACTACAACGCAGTGCTGGAAATTACATCTTCTCTCAACCGCAGCTCCATCTTTCGCCTCAAGAAGACCTGGCTCAAAATCTCCAAGCAGGTATCTATCGCTCTAGCGTCTCCCCTATAGATGTTTACATGCAGATGTCTTAGTCTCATTTCCTCTTCTATAAAAAAAAAGAAATATCATACCATGCAGCAACTTAAAAATCACTTTTTCTGATCATCTTTCTAGACCAGGACTTTGATTGACAAGCTACAGAAGCTGGTGTCATCAGAAGGCAGATTCAAAAACCTGAGAGAGGCTCTAAAGAAGTAAGCTTTTGTGGTTCTTCACTTCTGGTTCTGATATTGTGGTGAAGGAGTGGAGTTTATTCCATCTTGTGTTCATTTCTCTGTGTGCACCTGTAAAGTTGTTTTCTCTCTATGACATGCCTGTGCTCCTCAGCTGTGACCCTCCCTGTGTTCCCTATTTGGGGATGTACCTAACTGACCTGGCCTTCATTGAGGAGGGAACACCTAACTACACAGAGGACAACCTGGTCAACTTCTCCAAGATGCGAATGGTAAAGAACATCATATCCTTTCAATTTTTTCATTACCTCCGATATATGTATATTTTTTCTGGTTTGATGATCTTGTTAAATTTTACTTAATTCATTGCATGTCAGGAATCCATCATATATCTGATATATTATTAACATTTTTCATTTCTCATTCTGTGGTTTATTTTGTTCAGATATCCCACATTATCAGAGAGATACGGCAATTTCAACAAACAGCGTACAAAATTGATTATCAGCCAAAGGTGAGTTTTGTCCGTGCAGATTTTAGGTGTATTTACATTGCACATTTAGTAAGAAGTAACTGAAACTGTTCTTCAATATTCAACACCCACTAGAAATCTGAGTATTGTTTGTACTGTATCTCAGATTATGTAAAATGTATCTATCATTACACAACATAAGATTATATAATAGGTATAGATCCTCTCTGGCATCCACAAAAGTCATAAAAAACAAGACCAAAACCCACGTTACCAAAGGTTTTGTGATCCTTTTATCATCAAAGAGGAGTTTGAGATGAGACATTTCAGTCATTTGAGGTGTCTTAGAAATGTTCTAGGGACACTGGCAGGTTAAATGTTTGTTTAAGACACATCCACATATTTTGTGCTGTTGTGGTATGTGAACCAAGTTTGACATGCTGTAAAATGCTGGTATAGTGCATAAAGTCTTACTAGATTCCGAAGAATGAAGAAATTTTCAGCACTTTCCCTTTTTTCTGTTGCTACAGGTGGCAAAGTACCTGCTGGACAGCAGTACAGTGCTGGATGAGGAGAGCCTGTATGAGGCATCTCTTAGAATCGAGCCCAAACCTTCATCATGAAGAGGATTTTCTTGATCTGCTCACATACAGAGAATGGAAAGTGTACATTTCTTATTATTTGTATTAGACTCAATAGGCTGTGCCCTTCTAGTATATGCTCCCTGATGGACTTGTTGTTTATGATCGTTATTAGAGAGTAGAAGTCCACCGACTTTTTCTTTCAATAGTTAATGATATTTATATGTTATTTATTGTCTTAAATGCCATTTTTGATTGAATTATTTTGAACCACAGAGTAAGAAGATATGAGAGTTTAAATACTTGATTTATAGCTGTATCCAAACAACAACGTGCAGTATGAAAAAAAGCTGTTATTCGTAAGAGTTTACCATTTTAGACAAAGGATAATCAACTCAAACTACTACTTCTTTCAGAAAACAAGGTAGAATACATAAAGTGAGTACATACTGCAGTGATTTGTAAACAAGCATCCACTTAATCTCTTTGTGCTGAAAAGTTCCTCCTGTGAAAGAACACAAATATGCGATTTCAAAAAGTCTTTCACGTGAAGCTGATCCTTAAGATTGCAGTCTGTGATGACTGCAGAAAAACATATAAATGCACTATTGCCTGAATGTTGATATATATGGAAAATGTTTGCAACCAAATAGAAATGATTTTCAATCAGACTTTATCAACCTTTCCTTTCTGTAGTATCTGGAGTGAAAGGAGGCTGAAGTTGAATTATGTGCCCCGTTGTTTTATGTAGCTATTAAGGGACAGATAGGTTTGGAAAGTTTGTGGTGAAACCTCCATGAGCTGTTTTCAGTTTTGGACAAATTTAACCTGTGATTATTTCATTCCCCTGGTGGGCAACACGATGTATATACAGTATAAGCACCGGGCATTGTATGTAGCAGATGTAACCAATATTGAACCACTTCAGGACGTTAAATTCCCAGCTTCTACACTCAGACATTGTGAGCGTAGTCTTAATGGTTTATCCTCTTTGGCCAGTGCATTATGGTTTTGCCTTAATCATGAAATGGATTATATACAGAAAAGTATGTAAACTATTTTGTTCTACAATTTGCCAATGAAGCAGACGTATTGGCTGTGTACAATATTGTGTACAGACAGACTGATGCATTTCCAAATGTGCAATGTGTTAAAAAAATATAAATATATATATCCCTCGAAATGTGTTATCCTTATGATCGTTCAACTCTGTAATAACTTTTCTGTGTATCATACTTTGAGACAAATGTTGAAAACAACTTATAAGTGTAACACATTCTGTATCCTGTCTATTCCAATGCATAAGCAGGAACTATACTGTAGTATTATTGTGCTTCTTCTTGGAATATTTCTATGTATTTTTTACAGGCTTTGTAAAGAAAAACTCCTAAAGCTTAAGTGGCAGGCATGGACCACTTTCACATGTTCAAAATCAAATCTATATCTAGAGCGGTGTGTACTGTATTTATACCCCACCCTTGCACATGAATCTTTACCCTCTAACAGGCACATCAAATGTTTGCAGTGAGCAATATCCAGTGATACGAGAATTACCTTTCAGTCTATTTCGACAGCTTGAGTAGTATTTCCAGTTTTGTATAAAAGTGTATTCTTTCCTGATTACCTCTTGTTAATAAATCTATTCTTTCTCAGGGGGAGAGATGTGTCCAAAGCTTTTGTGCGTGTTTTACATTGTGAGCTCAGCTGTGTGGACTGAACCATACAAACAGCTTGTTCTTTTGCATGTGATGGCTCAGAGAGGGAGTCCTAATAGGGGCCTGTTACTGGCCTTGATTTTAAAAAATTGAAGTCACCTGAAAAAAAAGTTCTTAGAATCTTGTGGATTCTTACAGACACTTTGAGCACATGTACCCAGCAAAGTTACTGATTTGACTTTCTTTGCTATAAGTGGTTGAAATATTTGTAAATATTCAATTTCTAAATGCATACCCTTTAATATTAATAACATGTTATAAGAGAAATCAGAGACGACCAGGATTTAGCTGGGATCCCCTTTAAACTCTTCTGTCCAAATTGAAAAACTTGTACCTACGTAATGGCAAGTATTCATCCATCAGAAAAAAACAATAAAACAAAAAATATTTAGAATGTCAATGTCATGTAGAATAAGGCACTCGCCTCAGTACAGATTTATGCTATTGATCTAGTTTGATGTAGTCTGCTTAGCATCCAGTGAAAGAACACAACAGACAGTGAATCATGCAGTTCTGGCTGTAGGTTACAGTACCGATAAAAACAGCACTTTGTATTGCAAAGAGAAGAACTCTTAGGGAAGCGCCTGGGGAAACAGTGGGTAAATATAGTCAGTGTGGGTATTATATGTGAGTATTTCAGGGATTGGATTTGTCCAAGTATCACTCATATTTTCTTGTTTTATTCCATCAGATAGTTTTTGACTGAGTGTGGAAGAAACATGTGTGGACTGGCGTCATGTTCCTCCCATCCTCTGCTCATAGCTTAAGGGGTGCACTGTCAGAGAGATTTATCTATTAGCTATTAAAAAGTCTCAGCTATCTCTGAGTTTGACTTTGAATGTTCTTTTTTTACAAAACATAATGTCGATATTGAGAATGAAATACCAAACACAAAATATAAAACTTGTTAGACATAATATAAGTTTGCAGTCAAGAACTGTGACAAAAAAAAAAAAAAAATTCACCATTTACACAATTTTATCTTGGATAAAAGAGAAGGGGTTTGACTTTAATATACTGATGCAGGGCAACATTGAAAGCAGATTTTTTTGTGTTTGATTATGACACTGCATTAGATACACACATTAGACATACACAGGTGTGAATGAATGCATTGCACTTGGGCATAATTTAACTGCCTGTGAACATGTAGAGACACGGCCAACAAAATGTGAACTAAACACGCTGCTGTTATGAAGGTGTTTCATGTGGTTAGCTTTGGTTAAATTAAGTTGATTGAACCCAATACATTTATTTTCATGTCTTTTTACCACACTTTCTATCAGTAAAGAAATGCTTTTTGCTTAAGATATGCACTATTTTACTAATGATCCTCATTAAATCCCCAAACAGGGGCTGTTTGGGGCCCCCGTTTGGGGCTGAAGGATTTTTACTTTCTCATCAAGGTAACATATGGTCTTACCATTGTCATTAAACTTAACGTTTAACTGAGTCTAAAAAAAATCTTCCGACGTTCTCATCTTCTACAAAATTTACTTGTTGGCTGAGGCTTGAATAACTCCTCATTTCTGAGCCAAGGTACTTTATATGTAATTAAGCTGCTATAGCGTTGTTCTACCACAAGATGGCAACATTATACCAGCACGTTCACTGGAGTTTACGAGGGACTCAAACTGATAAGCCCTCATTGGCTGGTGAGTTCGGGCACGACCCCCTTTTCTCTATCACGTTTTTATACTAACCAATGAGCTGCAAGAATTGTGTTTCGCAACACAGATGGTAGGGGCTCGTTACAAAATCATTTCTTTCGTGAGGCGCCAAATGTTCTCCTTCGATAATTACGAAGGCGCACAGTTTGTGGCCGGTACTCTTCAGGAATAGCTACTCCCCTTCAAAGGTTTATCGGAATGGCGAATAAACGAAGCAAACGAGGAGCTGTAGCGAAGGTACGCTAATAATGTCAAACATGTGCTTTTGCCTCACGAACATCTCTTTTTGTCCGTAAAACAATATCACCTGCACGAGTTGAGTCTTACAGCTAAATTAAGTTCATGCCATTGTTAGATATGAGTGGAAATTGTGCTGGGACTTAACACTTAGACGTTTCTTTGATGTGTATGAGCGGCCGGTTGTTAATTGTTGATGATGCACACCTGTGTAGGACCTGACTCCAGAGAACCCCGACGAGGAAACAGGCCGGCGGTCCTCTCGGAGAGCTATGACCCCCAAACGCCTCCTGTACTCCCCGGGAACAGCAGCCGAGACAGCCGAGAAGAAACCGGTAGGAGAGCCCGCCAGAGTGCTCCCAAACGCGGTGGAGGGCGACCAGGCTTTGTTTACATGCGTGTTGCTGACAATTCCTTTCGTTTTTTGACCTCATACAGAGCAAGAGACCAAAATATAAGGAAGAGAGTGAGAACGACAGTGATGTGGAGCATAGATCTGTAAGTACATCCCTGTTTTGCAGCTAAATTAAGTTTGTGAAAGTCTGTGAGCCTAAAACTTTTAATATAACCAATCCTTTTTGGTAAAAACAAAAAAGGGAATTAGAACAGAATGTTGTCTTTGTACAGCAGGATGCATACGACGGACTTTCTGCTTATGAGCTGGAGCGCCTGGAGAACATCAGACAGAACCGAGAATTTCTGTCGTCTATAAACCTGTTTAAGGTAGTTCTGCATATTTGTGCTCTCAGTTCACAATGTTTTGTCGATTAATGCTATTAAAAAAGGCCTTACGGGTGTCATTTCTGATGTATTTCTACACCAAAAGGCAACGGAGGACCTAAAGCAGCTGACTCGAGCAAAGCCGTCACAAAGGGGCCTGAGGTATAGTTATCTTAAGATCTTACTCCTCAAGTTACAGTAATAAACCGCTTTATTTATGCCACACATTTAATTATCTGAGTTCAGGTCGCAGGCTGCTGTAAAGGAACTGTTGCCAGCCCGCAAATCCCTGCGCCTTCAAAATAAAGAGGCAGAAGTTTTGACACTTCCCCCTGAACCCACGGGTGCACTCGTCTATGAAAAGGTACAAACTCATAGATCTGACTATATGTTTGTAACGCCTCCATTCAGGCAGCATTAAATATGTGTCCTCAGCCTGTTTGTCTACTGTTTTCCTTTTGGGTTTCTGGCCTACTCATTGGAGTTATTTTCTGTCTTTACAGCAGGAACACGTAAAGAAGCCTTCAGGCCCTCTGCCCATGGAGCCACTCAACATGGAGGAGGGTTTCAGGCTGCCCTCACAACTTCTTGAGCTCTGCTCAGAGGTAAGAATGAATTTTTTCAAGAGGGCTTATTTAGTGTAAATGGTTCTTAATTTATTTGATCATAAACGTTTTCATCTTTCCATAGGACGTGAAAGAAAGAAAGATGGAGCTGAACTTGAAAGAGTAAGATGTGACCTTTTTTAAAACTTTGTTTTTAGCTCTTCCTGTCGGGTTATATCATTTATCCATAATGTGTTCAATGAGAGCTGTTCACACTGATTGCGCTCCAATCCCCGCTGGTGTCTGTGCTCAGGTATGCCTCTGCACTGAAGGACATGCGGATAACGGAGGATAAGGTGGTCAAAGTGGTGAAGGATCGGATCTTCTCGGCTGCGTTCCACCCCTGCAGCAGCAGCTTGCTGGTGGCTGCGGGAGACAAGTGGGGAAAAGTGGGACTCTGGAATTTGGTGAGGTTTCTTTGCTCTAGTAACAGGTTGATGTATCAGCCCAGAGAATTCGTATTAAACAACTGTGTATTTGTTCCAGGGTGCAGACTGGGGTGATGACGGCGTACTGCTCTTTGAACCTCACACCCGTCCAGTGAGCTGCATGGCCTTCTCCAGGGCTCAGCCCACCCAGCTGCTGACCCTCAGCTATGACGGATCTCTGCGCTGTATGGATGTCGAGAAGGCCGTCTTTGATGACGTGAGACGTTTTGCTCAAAGGACTCCATAAACGCATCTCCAGCAGCTCACGTGTCTTCTTTCCTGTCAGTCCACATGTTAACCGATTTCTCCATTCTTGCAGGTTTACGACATTGACGATGGCCTGAAAACCTTCAGCTTCATGTCACATGACTGCTCAACACTTTTAGTGGGGAACTGGTTCGGGGATGTTTCCATCGTTGATCGGCGGACCCCAGGGTAAGCTGTCACTCACTGAGCTAAGAATGAGAACTATTCATCGAGCTCCCTCACTAAACATTCTCATTAGACTAATAGTTGATCTGTTTGAAGAAACTCGCACGAGTCCCTCTACTCAGTGGACCCAAAGACTTTGCGCTGCGTCAGCGTCCACCCGCTCCAGATGCAGTACTTTGCAGTGGCAGAGAGCAGGTGTGTCTGTCTGCTGGCTTGTTTCCCTGTCATTTACTGCTCAGCGTTTAGTGTAAGTCCCCTCTTTTTAAAAAATAAATGGTATTAACAAGATGTTTTAATGCCGTCTGCAGGGTTGTCAGCATTTATGACAGCCGGTGCCTGAAGAAGACAAAAAGCCCAGCAGTCTCTCAGCTGTCCGGCCACTCCTTAAGCATAACCAGCGCTTATTTTTCCCCGTGTACTGGGAACAGGGTTCTCACCTCCTGCATGGATAACCACATCAGGTGAGACCAAAAAAGGCCTTTGAAGTAGTTATTTTTATATTTATAAAAAAAGACACGTCCCTACATGTGTTTCTCTACACTAACAGGATATATGACACCTCTGCAATGACCAGTAACTCTCCCTTGCTGACATCCATTGGGTATGCTAAGACATTTCTTGCCTCTTTTGAGACCACTTGTTTTTTTGATGATTTCGTCTTTCTGTCCAAAGGGAAGTGCATAACTTCAAACTTGGAATCAATATTTTTTTCCCCCAATGTATATTTGCAGGCATGACATGCGAACAGGCCGCTGGCTCTCTAAGTTATCTGCAGTGTGGGACCCCAAACAAGAAGACTGCTTTGTTGTTGGGAGCATGATGAGACCTCGAAGGGTGCAGGTGTTTCACGAAAGAGGTCAGCAGCTGCACACCTTTAAGGATGATGAGAACCTCAGCACTGTGCTGTCCGTCACTGCTTTTCACCCCACAAGGAATGCCCTGTTGGGGGGCAATGCCTCTGGGCGCCTTCATGTGTTCTCCAGCTAAAATGGAGACTTTTACAAGCCTCTCTGGTTGCATTGAACAGGTTAGCACAATCTAGGGAATAGGTTTGGTATTCAACCCTGAATCTGCAGGGTGATTTCTCACTGTCAAGGAATGCAAATGCTTCCCTTACCTCCTAAATGTACCCCCACAGCTTTAATGCATAATCCAAAACATAAGAAGTATTTTAATACTTGAACAAGTATTTACAAATGTTCTGTCTAATCTGAGAGGAAAAAACGCATTTAGTTCAAAATTTAGCCAAGTGTAAAGGAACAGGTGTCAAAGTAAGTTTCTCGTTTTGAAGCAGTTCATTTAGAAAAAAAAGAAAAGCCTACTGTTTTTGTGTTTTACAATTCTTGTTATATCAAATCAGTAGATGGATCCATCCCAAATTCATTGCCTGATTCAGTCACCTTTTCTTTCCATTTTACCATGAAATGATTAGATTTTCTGATCAATTTTCACAGTTTTCAAACTGAGATGCCTGGTAAAAAAAACACTGTACAATTTAGATGCAGATGGAAAGCACAATCTTATACATTCCTTTTTAAGTTCATACTACTTTTCGTTTTAAGTTCATCCATAATAGATGCCTCATAAGTAATGGGTGAAAAAACAAGTGCTGGAAAATATACTCAAAATTATTTCAGAACTTTCAGGGTCCCTTCTGTGTGTTCATTTCATTTTATATATGTGGTTTGCCACTTTTGAAACATGCAGAATAAATATTTTTCATATGTTAAATAAAGTGCTGGTAATGTCTTCATTGGTTGTGTCGCACCTGTAGATGGCAGCAGTGCAGCATATTTCTTCTACAACAAACTGCTAATCTAGGTCACTTCTAGTCTTTCAGAATTAGTCTTCTATTTCCTGTGTTTTCCTCTGTGAATTTGAAATTAGACTTGGAACCAAACTGTTAGTCATATGTAAAGAATAGATGTTATTTATTCATTGATTACAGCGGTCTTAAGTCAGTGATTGGAAATAAGCAGTCTGGGCTGGAGGTAATAAAAGCAGAACACATGCTTACAGAGACATTGCCATGTGCAGGGTCTTGGTTTAGGAAGGAAGTTTAGGGTAAGAACACATCTGAGACCCTGTGCCTGTTGAGTAAAACAGTAAAATGATCCCTTTGTCACAGCACTTTGTATCTTGATAAAACAAACAAAAAACCAACATGTACAGAAATGAAGTATACAAACTGAAATTCAGGTAGTCGAAGATGCTACTTTTGCTGTGAATCTCACAATATGGTGAAGTTATCTGATTCATTTTCACTGGCATAAAAGTTAAATCAAGATATTAGCATACTGTGTTGAATCTGATAAAAAATAAACATGAGAAATTTAGCATCCAATCAGTTTCATGATTCAGTTAAGTCATAACGGCAACATTTGAGAAGTGTCCTCAGGAATAGGGGCCACACATGCATCTACAGGCAGATTTTGTGATAGGACTGAAAATGTCCGTTGCACGCCTCAGAGACTTCAGACAAATATTTGTTGAGAGTTCATGGTGATAAATGATCCTTACATAATCTGAAATATACTGTATACTGCACACGTTAAATTATTGTTTTAATTCAAGAGGCAGATAAAAAAATTGTTTGCCTTGACTGGCTTTTTCTCATGTTCATAATGACTCAACACTGAGGCCATTTTTTCTTTCGGAAGGCAAACTTATTGATTTGTAAATACAGTTTACAGTTAAAGTTTAGTAATTTTTCTAATACAGCCTTGAACTAAAATGAAAAATAGAATTATTAACATTTATGGTGATTTCTACCCTGTACAAAAATAAAATGGGCATTTAAAGCTGCTTATTAAAACACTGAAAAGACTTGCAAAGTCATGCTTTCTGTGTTCACTTTAAAACTGACCATTTTTTTCCAAGGAAAAAATGTAATATCAATGTTATTCAGATAAATCATATCAATACAGTATCCTTCCCAACTACCTACAGGCACCTATGCCTCCAAACGCCTTCAGCTAGTCAGGGACCTTAAAGATGGATGCAGTAATAACATCCTTTCTGTTTAATCACCATCAGCATTTAAACATATTCTGTCCTGAGCGATCACTTGCATTATTGAAGAGAGAACAAAAAACTTAACTGTGAAAACATTTGGAATTAATTCTGGAGCTCTACACTTCAAAGACACAAGGTAGGTTAGCTTGTAAAGTACAAGTAATAAGGCTGAAGGAGGACAGCAAGACCATAAGAGTTTCCATCTGTTGATGCAAACACACTTAACGTATGAGACAACAGAGGTTTCTTTGGTAGGCGTAGTGAAGAAGATTTGCAGTATGGGACGTAAATGTGACTTATTTTCTCTTGCATATGCCAGTGTTGGACTGAAAACCACATATCCATTGTAAAACAATGCTTCAGACGTATTAAAGTCAACACAAAGTAAATTCAGCATGTTAACAAGTCAGTCGTTTGCAAAAAAAAAAGGTAAAACGACTTCTGACTAATCCTGTACAGACAAAACAGCAGGACGAAACAAAATTTAATGAAACACCGTTAAGGGGTAAGAAACTAAAAGCAAACAGTGTACACTGTGGGAAATTAGCGCTAATTTTGAATTTCACAAGGTAACGCAATGTCAAATTGACCATGATTTCTTATATATTCATATTAATGGTACTGCACATCAAGATGACTTCCTTCTACTGACTGAAAGAATGAACCAAACACTTGACTACAGGTACAGCGCTAACTCACATTGTCCCATCACTTTTGCAACTACTGTAAAAGTAACTACAACAAAGTGACAACTACTCCTCATACACAGGAACTAATCCGAGTTATCCTCATCGTTTGGCTGCTATCTAACAAACATTAAACCTACAAAAAACACATCCCCTTTCTATTCTTAGTCTTTTTGTTTTATATCAGGTCATCGGACTAAAGTCACTGGCCCTCAACATGGCTTGAAAATCGGTAATTACAACCTCAGATTAACAACAACACATGGCGTATTACACATTCTCATGATTTATAAAATGAAAACTAAAATGTTAAAGCAGCACACAAAGAAGGACCTAAATTCTACGATTCAACTGCAGATAGAACCATCATGGCAGCAATAACTTAGACTAAAAAAAGTTTTCTTTATGATGTTGTCAGTCTTGTAGGAGAAATCCTGGCCTGTTGTAGGTTCAGTCTATTGTGGCTTGTGGGCACTTGTTTATGCACAGCCCTCTTCAGGACCAGGTGCTACATTTTAATCAGGATCTGCTCTGAACAGGAAGAGAGGAGCACTTTGATTTTATTCTTCTTTTCCCCATTATGTTACACATTTTTTGCAATGTTTATCATTACTTTTCTGTTAGTTGAGAGAATTGTATTTACGTTTCAGCTGTCCAATAGAAGGCCTGACGGTCAACTGTGGAATATGTATATGGACTATGGTCTGGTCTATGGCAGACTTAAGGACTGTGGACAAAATGTCAGGATCTTGTAGCAGTAAAAATGCAGCTGAAACCAGGAATCCTTCCAACGTGCTTGATAGTTGGTATGATGTGCTTGTGCTGATGTCCTCATATTTGGTCTTTGTCAAAAGTAGGACTGTGCATTATGTTGTCCACAGCTCCAGCTGTTTTAAGTGTTGCTAATGTTGTAACTAGGAGCTGTAATCAGGATTTTTGGGTCTGACCTCTGATTGATGGAAACAGACTGGTTGACACCTACTTTGATCACTGCTCACTGAGTAACTGGTTGATTGACATTCTTAATATTCTCTAACATATACTGATTATCAAATTAGGTATCTTATTCTTGTCTATTGTGGACAATTTAGAGCTTATGTACTAAATGCATAATATTAATTGTGCCCAAGATTTTCCTGTATAAACTTTTTTCCTTTTTTTATTACGATTTAATTGTTGTTGCTTACTTGTAAGATATACCAAGATGAATTGCTCTCTGGTCAAATTAAATGTTTAGAGTAACGCAACCTATTTTATTGGGACGCGTTTTAATCATAAATTAATTAGCCATTTGTCAATCACTTGACACCGAACCCCTGGCTAAAGATTTGAGTTAAATGTGTTTAAATCAAAAGAATCTTGACAGATATATTCAGATATAGCAATCAAGAGCAGCGCTTAAATTCTGAGGTGGTATCACCAGATTGGATCATCTCTGAATGTCAACATGATATTTTATTATTTCATCCCGATATGTAAACCTCTGAATTAACTAGAGGGTGCACTTTTATTTTCATGTGACTTTGTATCCTTAAAGAGCAGCAACCTATTCAATGCTCAATCAGTCCTTTAGTGTCTGAACAGAATGAGGAAACACGTAACAGAAATTTGACTCCAAACGACAGCGTACTGTAGAAATAATGATCCAAACCTACTTACAGGACAACCCCTACATTACACATGTGTATTAAAGCTATTGCAGCTCAATTTTAGCAATTGCTGAAATGGAAAATCAGTGACAAGTGTATTTGCACCTCCTTTTCAATTGTTTAAAACACAGTTCATCTTACTCCTAATGGATCCATTACACACTGGTCCATTTTACGCTTTCTCTCAAAATGTTTCTCCCAAACTAACCGTTCTGTCTCCCAACAGTGACCACGGTCAAGTATAATATCATCAGTATCACATACTTCATAGCTAATTATCTCAGTCGTCCTTCCTCTTACCCTCTCTCATAACTTTACTTAACTTTACTCTCCCTGCAACATACACCTCAAATTCAGTTTAGTTTGTCACATGTTAATGTCATAACATACTAATTAATAGAAAAATAAAGGCAACTATGATCTCTGCTTGAATAAAGATGTATATCAGAGTTGGTTACCCTATCACTGTGGCTTTGTGTAAAAAATAAAATACCTTGAAATGACCTGATTTTCTAAAGTAAAATGTGATTTCTTTTCATCATGGTGATAGTCACTCGTTATAATCACGGCAGTCCTGTGCTTGTGACAGGAATTTATTTGTGGGAAAAGCCTAGCTGATGTGATTAAAAAGGCTTTTCCCTCCTCTTCCTCCATCTCCCACCCTGTACATGTCCCATCATCATCATCATCATCAGCGGAGGCGTGTGCCGAGGCATTCAGCCGGTTACAATTTTCACCTCACTTGCTGACGAGGAAGCCTCCCATCCACCGTAACTTACAGGCGAACCAGCGCCGCAGAGGGCAGAAATATTCAAAGTGGAACTGCTGGAACTCGGGCGTCTTGCGGATGTCTCTCAGGAAAGCGATGTCCAGGTCTGACTCCGTCAGCATGATGAGTAGCAGCAGGAGGGCGAACAGCAGTCCGATGGTAACCAGGAACAAACGCAGCACACTGAGGATGAACTTGTTGAGCTCCTCTACGTCGCTAGGCGGTGACGGCCTGCTCCTGACCACGCCCAGCGCTCTCCGTCTGGGTCCATACTCGGCCGCCTGGCCCTCCTTTAATGCCCCCGCCCCGGAGTCCTTTTCCTCGTCAGCGCTGCACGGTGCACCGTTGAGGTGACGGGCCAGAGGCATCTCCATTCCGTGCTCGGCCACAGGGGTGGGCAGCACACTGTCTGAGGGGCTGTAGGCCTCATCAGAGATCACTGCTGACGTGCTGGCCTCACTGCCATCCACCATCTGGCCCCTGGAAGGCATGAAGGAGTCGCCATGGGAGACAGAGCGCACAGGCGTGGAGTGGGCGCTGTCTCGAAGAGACTCCAACCCTGAAAACAAAAAAAAAAACAACAAAGATAAATACTCATGCAGCTAGTTATAACGTTATGATGAAACTGACATGACCTTTGACCTAATAGACCTAAGATTAAGTCATCTTACAGTCTTTAGAGAGGCCTCTCCAGGCTTGTTTGTCTGTGGGGTTGTGATATCATCGAATGGCCAAGAAGTATTTTTTGCAGAATGGCTCTTTAAAACCTGTTGTGTCCTCTTGCCTATATGTTTTACATCACCAATGTTTTTCTGATTGTAATAGCAAACCAGATTGTGATAATGATGATGCAAAGTTAGGATCTGAATTAGAAGTTAGATTTCTCTCTCAGAATATGAAACATTGCAAAGTACAGTACAGATATAGCACGATTAGCTATTTCTTTCTAAAGGGAACTTTACGGTAGCCAATCAGATGTAGCCGTGAATCACAAAGCAAAGAAGAAAAGAAAAAATGTTTTGACTTCCCACTTTTAATGCACGGCAAATCCAGGATGATCTAAATTTGTGGTTTGTGAATATAAAGATGTAGAGTTTGGATAATTCTACCGATGTATCAGTTACTGAGTTGGTAGGGACTTCAGGCACCAAAATAAGTAGGAGGTGAATTTTGGACTAGCAGCAGCAGAAAACACAGCTGAACAGTATCAGGCTATACAAAGTGGGGAAATATTAGTTAAATAATAGTTTGCAATACAACAACTGGAAAAGAAACAGTTAGTAAAGGCTAACTGTTGGCAACCAGTTCTTGAGCAGCCGACCCTTTCCTACAGCCGCAAGTCCCATTTCATTAGCACCACAATAACCTTTTAAACTATACACATATACAAACTAGACATGGGACTCACTCAGCTTTTTTCCTTTTTATTACTTTCATATTTCACCTCTGAAAGTTAGATTATCACAACTGATTACCCCTAAACTATGGTTTGAAAAATGTCCAAGCTGTAATTTACACACCCAGCATCACCAAAACTCATACGACTGCTCTAAATAATCACAAACTGGCTAAACCAGTGCTTTGTTCCCTTCTGTCCTCTTTTTACCTGAGCAGTTGGCATGTGGCCGATTGGTGCCATGGACACAGGGTGGGACAGCTAACCTTGAGGGGGTTCTGGAGCCCTGTCCTGACTCAGGACCAGAGCCTGAAGTGGAAGGTCCTCCAGGGAGGGCTGGGAAGAGTGGTAGGATCCCCAGAGCTTTACCCAGGAGCCTGGGTCCCAGAGAGAGAACTCGTACCTTCACATCCCGATAACAATGGTTGATCATCCGCAAGTGAACGTTCACCTTGGTTCTGATCCGGATTAGACACTTCACCATGATTCAGCTTCACTGATTGACACCAGTTTAACCTTGACAGGACTTTGGTGATCTTTTTCCTCAAGGGTGGCTGTCTTTGAAATGCCTCTTCTTTTTTCCCCCTCTTCTTCGCCGTTACCTTTGACTCCAGCTAACTATCTAAGCGGCACGTCAGTCTCAGATGAGCAGCTCACATAGAATGACAGGCTGACGGCAGTGGACACTAAGAGTGAAAGACAAGGCCGAGGAATGCAGTCTACTTGTGCCACAGTCCACATAGCTTCTTCTGTACTGCCGGTCAGGACACACACACATCATGGCCTCTGACATCAGGGGCTATTTTCAGGCTGAGATATTATTACCAGTTGAAATACCAAGGTAGACAGAGCAACAGGACAAAACACAGGGGGTTTGTCAGTCACCGTTTGAACATTATCCCGCACCACCATGGCCGCTACTCAATGATGATGACAAGTTAACGAAATAACCTTTTTCTCATAATTGTAAATAACTTTAAAAAGTTGATTAGTTTGATTAGCTTCCAGCAAACTTACTCTCAGTGGAAGTATTGGCAAAAGGTTAATAGCCAGTTGGAGAAGTGAGGGGACGGTAAGTGCCCTTTATAAACTGACAGGATGACTTTCTCATGAGAAAACAATGCCTGAGGCCAGTGTGTGATGGATGCTCCTTAGTGTTTGTTTGTGTGTGCGGATGCTTGTGGGTGATTCGGATTTAAATAAATCCACGAGAGAGAACTAAAATTCAGATACTGAGAGAGTGACTGTCAGCATGGAGAGGCCCTTCCTTACATCTACAGTACTTGCACTTACAGGAAAACGCATGCGGTGTGTTAACAGTGGGTGAGAGTGTTAAAAAGGGCTCAGTGGGCACTGTGAATGGGTATCCACAGCACAACAAATCACTGAGCAGTCTTAAGAGACAGCTTAGACAGACTGAAAATAGATCGCAACAAAGACATAACTATCATACATGCAAATCCTTTTGCTGTGTTGGAGGCTTCTCAGACTAGCCCTCCTCCACCAAATCTAATTTTCTGGTCTCTACTCTACTGAAGCAACAGCAACTGTTATATCTATGGTATGCCTTTCAAAATGACACAATCCGATGACTTTTTCCTAAACTAATTTTTAATAAGGACTCATCAACAATATAAAGTTAAAGAATATGGACTGAGTGCTGTATTATTACAATCCTGTGTATTCAAAACAAAAACGAAAGTGAGAAGTGTGCTTTGTTACTAAACCATTTATGCATGTCTGATCTCAAGAGTGAATAAGAAAGAGTTGACATCAGTATACTGATGCTTACGTATCCCAAATAAGCGTAGAAATGTTTAATTTTAAAGTGTGAGCACCAGTTTATGGTCCTTTGCTGAACCTACTGCAATTTTTCCTATTCCACTCATATCTATCTTGACCGATGTGTTTTTGTGTTTGGGAGAATTTTCATTTGTTCTACCTTCCATTATGGAAATGTGCACAGCTCTCCGCCGAGTCCTGGGCACACTGGTCAGACGAGGGCCGTGGGTGATGGATGGACAGCTTCTACTGGGGACCATGCCGGCCCTGAGACAAGAGACGAAAACATATTCATATACCTACACCCAAAACAAATATAGAAATCCCTTTCATATTTCAGAAATGGAGTTTAGCCAGAGCACTGAAATAATTGTGACCTGTGAATCTCAGGGGGGTCCCTCTTTATTTTGGCACTTTGTTCCATTACTTCTTTTGCAACCTTTCCACTGAGAAGGCAGAGAAAAGAAAGTACATCTGTAATCAACAAAGTCAGAGCACAGACAGAAATATGTAATGGAAATATGTCTGAAGCGTTTTGTGTGAAGCATTTACACACATTCAGGTTTTCATACCTGTATCTAAAACGGCTACCCTTAAAGAAGAGATTACTACTGGACACAGTGCGGACTTGACTGGACTTTTCCAACCTGTGAGTGAACAAAGGGAAAAATCAAACAAAATTATGTAAAAAACTTATCAAAATAAAATTAGATCAAGTAGCTCCTGTATGTCTTGCTTCTTCTCACTTATAAAAGGCTTGGTTCTCTACTCCACACTTCCAAAGATGCTTACAGGCCTCTGGTGTAGGAGCAAAGTAAGTCAGTATGATCTTCCTATCCTGAAAGAAATCCACCACATGATCTCATGTTTTAGAGTAGATCCATATAAACAATACAGAAAACGAACATTTGTGAGAGCTAACATGTTCTAAACAATAATTTATAGTGGTTGTCAAGGCACAAAAATATTTTTTCCTTCCATGATTTTCTTCTAAAGCTGTCAATTCTCAACCAGTCCTTAAACACTGCCTTTAACAATCTACTTTGTGACTGAACAATTAAGAATTCAATTCTAAAACAACATTTTTCAATTGTGGGTAATACAAAGCTGAACTCAAATATCTTTCCAAGGTTTTCATGCCTCTTCAGACAGTATTTTAGTTTTGACTATACATACCTCTTTTTGATTTGCATAAATATGGAATGTCTTTGCTTCAAACTTGAGTTTGGTTACCTCATCCCTGTAATTAAGATGTGGACCGATGGAGCGGGTGAAGAAGCGCAAAGTAAAAATAAAAAAAGGAAATAATGAAAGCAAGAGTGGGGAAAAAAACAACAAGACGTAAGAGAAGGACAAAGGACAAAGGCAGCAAAGTATTAACAGTTTAATTAGAACTGCCAACAAAATGCAGTCATGTGTGAAAGAAGGCACACCTCTTTCATTTCTAAAATTTGACCTATCGGGACTTGGTAAATAGACAGATAAGCATTGCATGATGTGTTACATTTAAGAACAGAAAAGAAGCCAAACTGGATAAACAATTAGTGAAAAAAAAGGGGGAAATATGTTAGATAACTCATACCGGCAGAGTTGATTACTCTACAATGTATGACTTGTTCAGAGGCCTAAATAGCAAAAGAGTAATATATTTTCTGTTTAAAAACCATCTGAGCAGTCTACTTACGGAACAATGTCATTTGTGTAAACTGAACATAATTCATAGTCCAATATTTGACAAATAACAGACAGCATATAAGCTAATACCAACAATATGGAAGGCTGATTATCTGCATTTGTTTTGCAACCACTGGACCAGAAGAAAAAAAAAATCACCATCATCAGTCATTAAGTTGATCACAAAACCTCTGCAAAATATTATAGAGTTACAGACGAGGGCATCAGTTTGACAGCTAAAGCTTCTGGCGGCTAGTTTAGAACAATATAGAACCCGGGCTCTCTGAACTTTATAGTTGAGCTGAAGTAACAGTTTGAAAAGAAATGGATCCAAATGTATTCACACTAATTTGAGAGACTGATAACTTCCCATAGAAAATGATCACACTTTAATTTAATTGAATGGAATGGCATTAAAAGTATATCAATATCAAGCTGAACCATGATGTGTTTTCATACACTGCTTTAAGTATCCTAAGGAAAATTGATTTTTCTTGATACACACAAATTGCAATGTATTGCCAACAAATGTGGATCCAACACTTTTGTGTGGTAATCCCAGTGATCTTGTTAATCTGTACTCACCACTTGAGGAAATGAATCCTTCTGTTTCCTTGCAGCACAGTAAATCCAAAGGGAGTGAAAGCCAGAAATGCTGGGTTCCCCGACACATCCTGACAGGCAGGCGGTCAACGTTTAATTAAATAATTTATCAATTAGCAATTCAATAAAGAAAAAGGAAACCTCCTTTACAAAATGATCTTACATTAATCAGACATATAGTGTAAAAATTCAAAGACTGACTTCACATTTAGTAATTTAGCATTTTGAACTAGTTTTGCACCTTGCACGGATGAGGGTCCACTCCGTAGGTTTCCAGCATCTGGGCTTTCTGGAGGAAGTTAAGCTCTGATGTTTCAGGACTTTGACCACTGAAAACAAACAAACTATAAGTCAGTTTGGTGGCATCTGCCTCGTTAGCACAAGGTCAGTGTTTAAAACCAACTGACTGCTGGAATTAATTTGAAAAAAAGTTTTCAAAGAATAGGGGTAAAGATGACTCCTTACATTCAAGTAAAAAAATCAAAGTATTGAATGATGCTGTAACAGCCGGTCTAAAAAATTCAAATGTTTAAACTCTTAGTACTGTATGTCGTTTAAAAATCCTAGTTGTAATTTGTGTAAAGGTCATATTCTGCCAGTAATTCATTTAATTATCTCTTTCCCAAACTCAGACCTTTGGCATACTGGAAAAATATGACATAATAGAAATTGTTAATGTAGTAGTTAATAGTTCATTTTAATGCCATACTTGTAACTGAGTTAGATATTTGAAAGCACTGAGTTAAGCAATAAGTGCCATTTAGTTAGTCATTAAGGTATTGTTTTTTTCCTCTTTATTTTTTTCCATTTTGTTTTTATAAAATTTATTTGACAAGCGTTTTCATTGGCTGACAATTAACCATGGGAAAATACATGTACTTCAATGAGAAAGGTGTAAATGTGCAATAGAGGGCAGTGTAGTCTTAAAACAATTTCCAGTGGGCGTGTTCAGCTGGGGCTACATGCATGTGCATACTGCATATGTACAATTCAATGCAACACTTTAGAGCCCTTATTTTTAAAGTATTCAACAGACCTTCCATCTATGTTTTTGACAATTATTTTACATTAAAAGTATATCAATCTTTCCTTTCAATATCTTATCTGTCTCCTTTGAAGCCACAGAAGTACTCTAAACATTTCCAGAAATGACTTATCAGTCCTGTACAGACCCTGTTGTTTCAGGTCCTTTTGCAAGACATCTACTTGATAAAGGTAAAAAAAAAAAAAAAAAAACTTTCATACCTTGATAGACACATGCAAACCTGGCCTGAGTTATCTTGAGACAGTTCATGCAAAAAAGTCCTGGGATTTAATCAAACCGTTTTTTTAACAAGTTTATTTTATTTTCGTCCAAATGATGTTAATCAAATGGCTGGTGGGCAGAAATGTCATTTTTAGAGAGTAGAAGGTCTTTTTCACAGCCCTGTCATGAATACATTATTAGGTGTTGTGATGACGAACTGATGACCATTAGAATTAGAAAACGTGGGGGAGGACGGTGCACAGTGGGTCCTCAGAGAAAGCAGGTTCCTGGTTTGAATCCCTTGGCTCTGTGAGGAGTTCTCTCCATGTATGTGAGGGTTCCCTCTACGGACAGTTGTCCAGTCCAGGGGTTACCCCTCCTCCCACCACAGCTGGGACAGGTTCCAGCCCTCTGTGTCAGCCCTTCTAGTACCCAACAGTATTGAAAATGGAAAAGGCAGAGGGCTTCTGACCTCTCAGACTATTGCTTTTAAAGTGAGTTTTCATGTGACCACTACTGGGGATAAGAGTTTCTGTCTTTTGAGAATGTTCTCAAACCACAATGAACATCAAAATGTTATTTTTGTTCATGCCGCAAAACAACTTGATGTGCCATGACACACCTTTCATAGATGTACAGAGAAAATTAGACTTGATAGATCATAGTTTTCTATAAAACACGCCTAACTTCCCTCATTTACGGTAAAGAACCTGACTTCTCCTTACATGAGTTCAGTTTTGTGGATATCAGCAATGCGCCGCTCCAGTTTTTCTGAGTGTTTGGGGAAGAACTGGAACTTGGAGCTGTAACCTTCAGGGTGTTTCCCGGGGTCGTAATCACCAATTTCGGCTGGAAAATGTAACAGACAAACAAAGAGACAACAAAGGAAAGGTTAAAGATGACTAATGACTAAAGTTAAAGAACTTTGAATAAACTTATTTTCTAATCTATTTAATAAGACTAATTAAATGCTAACAAAAACAAATTTGGCAATCTTTGAGACACACAATGAGTCCTTCATTGTCTGAATTTTAGACTGATGTACACAGATGGGTAGGTGTAATGTTATTTGGTTTATATATAATAATTGTGGTGAAAATGAATAAAATACAGTATTCAGAAAGTTCTTTCATTGCATAATGTCAAGGAAAGGTTTTTCTGTAATAGAGAGCGGTGATGGGATCAAGTATAATCTCAGTCGTTTCAGGATGATTAGAAAGAGCTCTTAGACTCAGGGATCGACAGAATTATAAGACGGAATTTGATGTTTTGGAGCCTAAAATTGTATTGGATGAGTCACAATAATGTATTTAAGTCTTTGACAGCTTTTCTGATTAAGTTAATAGAGATGGGGATTGTAAATATTACAGCATTGTTTCCTTGTGTTATTTGCAAAATGTATACTGACCAATTAAACTTCTCCTAGATCTTGTTTTTATATTTTTGCCGCAGCTTTTCAAAGTGTAATGTGTCTACATCATATCTATTGAGTAAATAATCTATATCTACACAAGCAGCTTTCAACAGCCCAAGACATGGTCTTATGACATCCAGTGACAGATAATGATTCATATATACAGACGATGTCCACTTTCTCAAATATGATGATGTGACTGAGTGACTACACACAGAAGTAGGCTAACCTAAGAAGCTAAAGCAGGAAGATAAAACCATTAAGTAATAAGCATAAGTGATAGTTATGGTTTGGCTGGGTCAAACACCACTTAATGTACTTTAGCACCCTAAAAACAGTAAACTTTTCTGCTAAACATAAAGTTAAGAAACCTGGCAGTCCTTTACATTAACCCCTGGATTTCTAGGTGATAATGTATGCATGTATCAATCATAAATGATTGCTAAACTAAAGCTGTAATAAACTACTACAGTGGACTCGTCATGCTCACACATTGGCATATGTATGCTAGCATGGAAAACAGCGGGGAATTGTTGCGCATATTCTAAGAATGTCAGATTATAGAAATCGTAAAAAGTTGTCCATGTCCTACCTTGTAATATGTAAGCAGCCAGCAGGGCGGCATCAGATGTCTTACACAGGAGACGTCCGTGGTAGAGGTCCCTTTTGACCTGCAGGAAGACGAGATATCTGTGGAGTGGAAAGACAAACAGGAGGATTGAAATGGGTCATGGATTCAAACCATAAGAGTTCCAGACAGAGAAATTATAGGGTATAGAAAACTCACCAAATTAACCCCATTTGTCATATTACAAAATAAATTCAGGCACACCCACGATTGTCAAAGATCTGCGATTCCAGAAGTTCCATTGGCTATATCTAATACGTTTATTTTAGTTCTAGTTATTTTAGTTAGACACAATATGTGAATAATTTAACTCAAAGGTGTTGTCAGGTGGAGTTAGTAGCATTGTATTCCATGTCCATGGCATACAATATTCTGTAGAGAAAAAAAAAATCATCAATTGATTGATAGATTAATTATACAAAAGATGGCCTCAGGTGAGTTCCTGTTGTTGACTGGGTGTTATTCAGCTTCCTTTGCATGCTGAAGTTTTTCATAACTGTTTTTCCTGGTAAAGATTCATTTCATACACCTGTGATTCTGCTTCTCTCTGAGCACCAAAGCAATAAATATCATGTCAGCACAAAGCTTTGTGGTGAATGCACACTTAAGAATCTTCACAATATAGAATACCATTATGTCACCAAAACTAATGAGTTGCTGTTTTCTGTGTAAACTGTAAGCAAGTTATACACTAGGTTCATTTTGATGTAAGGGTTGTTTATTCCCCGCTTGTCCAGCCAACTCATCATACGTGCATTAGATAAATAACAGCAAAGAGTCTGTGTCAAATTTCTTTAAAGCAAAGATCTGTGAAATAGCTGGTGGAATTGATCTGCTACTGCATCTATTTGTGTCTTTGAAAGCCTCCATCCTGAACAGATGGATGGAGGATGGAGGAGCTCTCCCCTGCTGGCGCTTTGCTCCATCAAGAAGAGCTAGATTGCAAGCAAGAGATTTCATTGCGTGGTAACCAGACGAGGGATGTGATTTACAGGGATCTGTGCGCTTGGCAGTGCTCGGGTTTACTCCACATAGCAGTTTGCTCAGCTGTCAAGGATGCCACACAGAGTGCAGCCGTGGTGAGGAGCTCCGTGACACTGTAACTTATGAGGGAAGGAAATTCTTAAATCCCCACAGCACACAGGCTCACGCTGCTGGGCTTTGGATACTGTTATGAAATTTAATTAGATTTCTCCTCAGCACACCGTGTCTTTTGTTGCGTTCAAACTTTACTTTGAATGATTTTACAAAATTGTCAAAGTACTTATTTGTATCATATAATATATTCATATTATAAGCATTATTTTTTATAGAAATGTTGTTCATTTTCATCTTTTTAATAACTCTGTAACACGTCCTGCTGAAAAGCTTTCACCCATCCATTGTTTATACCCACATATTCCAGGGTGTAGTCTGGACAGGTCACCAGTCCATCACAGAGCCACAAAGAGAAACCCAACCACACATACTCACTCCTAATGGCAATTTAGTGTCAGTAAACCTAACATGCATGCTTTTGGACTGAGAGGAAGCCACAGTACCTCTGGAAGACCCACGCAAACATGGTGAGAACATGTACAAAAAAAAAAAAAAATGAAATTTTATCTTGGAACCCTCTTGCTGTGAGGTATTAGAGCTCACCACCACATCACCTTGCAGCCTTTATTTTTCACTCGTCTGTTTAAATATCTAAAGACCTCAACAACTGATAGATTTGTGTTTATTGCATTTTTGAGAATTTCTGATATTCTCAATAATTTATGTTGATGAATGACTGACCCATATGACCTTTTCACACACGTGATCACTTCAGTCCTATTCAATCCAAAAAGCCCCGATTCATACCATTTCTCTCAATTTGTCACTAAAACCTGCCTGAAAATGGTCGCTAACTGGGTTGAGAAGTTTCTCTCCTACAAATTTTAATTCATCTGAATGCACTGAAATCACGTACAGCCAAAATGAATTATTCCATTGTGTTTATCAGTATGGTTTTAAATGACCAATACACCTGATGCTGACATGATGTGCGTGTAAACATGACTGTACATGCATTTCTGTTCTGTTTCCTCCTCTTTAACCCAGAGGTATTCTGCCACAACTTCACATTTTCAGTCGTGGCCTGCTGACTGAACCATTTGAAATCTCACCTGGTGATTTCCTCCCTCAGAGCAGCTGGGTCTGGTGGGTAAAACTTGACACGCAAACACATGGTGAATGGAGGCTGGGCTGCAGACAAAGGCCAGAAAGATAGTTTTGAAATGATTCATGTTTGACATAGTTTTACACCAGTTTTTTTTCTGATTAAACATGAACATTTTGTTAGTGAGCACAATAAGCACACGTTCATTAGATGTGTTGACCACTTACACTTCATTTGTTTGGCAATTGACTTTGTAAACTCAAGCCAGTGCTGCAAAAGAGAGAAGAAGAGGTGAGAAACTGTTTTCTTTATCACACCCTAGTGAATAATGGCAGAATGACATGAAAAATGTAACTTACTCTTTGTTTGTCTGGATCAACATATCTAATGCCAAAGTAATCTTTCTCCAGCAGGTTGAGATGGTGACAGATGAGGTCAAACAAGTACTGTCCTTTGGCATCCCGCTGAAAGACAAGGTGGAAGGAAATTCATATACTGCTGTTCCTACTAAGGAGTAGAGGGAAAACTGAAAAAAAAATGTATATATGAAAGAAAAAAAAAGAGTTTAATCTCTGAGGACTGTTCAGCCTCCAGCAAACCCCTCCAAAACACTTGCACATTCACAGATGCAGTACATCAACTTCCGGCTGATTCAGGGTGTACACTGTAGATGTAAATACTCCGTTCAAAAGTCTGAGCTCTGCACAGGCCAGCAAACAAGTGTATGTGTTAAAAGATGAAAAATAACGCCTTGAAAACAGACAGACGATATTGCATCAGAGTGTCTAACTTTTGTCTTAACCGGATTTCCATTTTGGGGGGGCATCTTAGAAATCAAAATGGCCACCAGAAAGTGTCTTAATATTTAACAATCCTCAAGGGAGATATATAAGGGCTATCAAATATTCATCTCAAATCTGCAGCCATCTGTGAACGCTCAGAGATTTCTGCTGCAGAAAAAGACCTGGAAAGCCAGTGAGACAAGGTGTGGAAAACGAAAAGGGGAGTTGTGAGAGTGAGCAGGGCTTCTCACGAATCTACATCTGCCCCTAAAAGACTCACCAAAGACATCTTCTATTTAATGAGGACTTTCCTTGAATTTATAAAGAACAATGCGGTACCAAAGCTGACACTGAATGCATAACAAACCACAAACTACTAATTGGAGACTTTAAAGCAAAGCTAGCAAAATCCAGAACCAGGATGACGCAATACTTTGAAGTGGTGGATGTCTCCTTCAGGCTCTTAGAATAGAAGGAGACACACATACAGCCTGAAGACTACAGCTCAGTCATCAACATTTTACAGATCTGAAGCATAATGTTCAGATGGGAAAAAAGGGGAGGAACTCATCTGAAAATTAAGATTTAAATAGAGACAGCATCATGTTGCTGATTTTGACATGATTGTTACCACGTATAAATATGCTCTATCAAACTACGACATTGGAACAAGGGATTGGTCAGTGGGGAAATACAGAATAAACTCAACCTGACATTTATCGGAATGTGAATAGAATTGATCTTACCATTTTAAATTAAGGAGGAGAGTATTGAGATTTCCCTAAAAGCCTTTGATTTTGTGAACCACCTGATTCTTTTTATTAACTTCGAATACCGTTTACTTACTTCTGTTTTACTTATACTTCACAAAATCAAGTAAATGAAGAGATGGACAATAACAGGTTAAACTAATAGATTAAACTGTCACTGTGCCCACCTCAGAAATGAGATCCTAGAATGTAAAAGGCTTTGCTTCATAACATAATATGGGGTTGGCAAACCAACTGCTTAATTTTGGAATCTGAACATTTTTAAATGAAGAATGAAATCCTTCAGTAGACAGAAAATGGATCTCCAAGTGAAGCAGGGGACATTGTGACTCTTGCCGTATACATTTTGACAAATTTTCTGTATTCTTATTCTGAACATTTCATGGACAGAGAAGAGGACTTTTGCTTAAGCATATTTGGGCATTAAAATCTAGTATATCATGACTCTGCTCATTTGAGTTACATCTTCTGTTTCTGCAAGGGTAAACTACACCATAAGATACCCTTCAATGCTCTTTCCAAGAGACACTGTGGCACAAAACTGCATAGTCAGAGAAAGACAAAGGCAGATATGTGAGAATGCAAAGGGGAATCAAGTAGACAGCCAAAAACAAATAGAGAGAACAAGCATGCAAAACACTGATGAATATATATCTGCACAGTATGCTACAAACAAGAGGAAACGTCAGAATAGTTGGCATGTGCGTCTTGCTGAACAATGTGAAGGCAGGATAACAGTTGAGCTATTGCCTCATCCGTTGTTGACATGATCAAAGAGAACTTACTGTCATGGCAAAAGAGTCCTATTGTCAATGCTTGTTAAAATTTCTTTCAATTTGGAAAAAGGTCAATACAAAATACAAGCATCTTGCAAGCAGTGTCAGAATGATGTGCATGAAGATGTTAATGTTAAAGGGAAATATATCACCCAAAGCCTAAGGGAGAGAGTAATCTTCACACATTTTGTTTGTGATCAGCTGACCCCCTTTCTTTTGGCCTTCCTGTATTCTTTATTTAATTGGACTTTTTCTGAAATAATCATAATTATTTTTTTAAGCCAACTTTTAAACACCTCACCTCCTGATGTGTCCCAGCCTCTATACACCTGATTGTGATTAAATGGATCTATTAAACACATTGTTAAGCTCTGCAAAGGCCCGATTAACGGCGCACTGATGGGAATCAGGTGCGTTGATTCAGGAAAAAACCTAAAACCTGCAGGTCAGCAGTCCTGGAGGACTGGAGTCAGACACCTGTGCTTTGGGTTCTGACTGATGGATTAAAAATCCGAACAAGTACTTTTAAACACACAAGCATCAGCCCGTGCTATTTATTAAGTAAACACTGTGACACATCCATACATCATTATTCAGCTCTAATTGTCTAAGACATTTGCTATTAAGACCTTTGAAGTCATGTTCAACCCACACAACACAAAGCCCTGACTAAACTCATCATGCTCAGCTGTGTCAAGCTGTGCACTGACCAGACCTTTCCCTGGATGCACTGGGCTGACCCTCTATCTCCTCTGTCTGCGTGTCTGTATGTCACTGTCACGATATGTATCCTGACTCACTAGGACAGGCCTGCTGACTGGACCAGGAGTAAAAATAGACTTGCACATATTGGCTAGCCCCACCACCGCCACCATTCAACACGCTCTCACATACACAAGAAGCCTAGATTCCCCCGCTTCATCACAAAAGCAAGTGTTTCCCCCTTTAAAACCTCTAAATCCAGAACACTGTCACGAGCTGCACCCCCCACTTACTCCATCTGCTATGTTACCAAGTGTAAACTATAGTGATGCTCAAAAAAAGTAATCTAAATCGGTCACATGCGTTCACTTTTGCTTAGAATATATCATTACTCACAATGTATTTTCCCAGTGGTTAGAAACGACTGGTGGATTCATTTCATTAAATACCAGCAAAACAGTGCTGGAGGATGAAAAACATTCACATAAGCAGTCATTCATAAGTACATAAAACTTCTTAGCACAGAATTTCCTCCCTCAAAAAAACTAAACAAGCAGAACTGAATAAATACTTGCTAGTGAGGACGAAGGGGCTGTTACAACAGCTCTTAAATGGTAAGACTTCATAATAAACTTCTGAATGAAGGTTTCTGCTCTGCGTTATAATGCATGTGGGTAAATACATTGTCTCAGCTAATTACCTGAGTATGCATTGCGATGCAGTAAAAATACATCTAAAGCAGTCTGTTTCATTGAAAGTTATAAGATGAAGCATCAGAGCATGCTGCCTATAAGCAGCTGACTTGTAATGTATATACGGTGTTGCATTGCATACTAATGAGGCACAGTGAGCCTCGGAGAGCTGACCGGGCACCGCTGGGACACAAAGGCAGGCTTTGAGGCAGAAACACTATCGATCTCAAGATAAGTGTTCTTCAACATCCTTATGAGATTTAAACTCCAAGCCAAAGTTGCAATACACTGGTGGTTACAGAGAGGAAACACTATACTGTATGTTCCCAGTTAAAGGGATGCTTTATTGTTTTGAGATGATAAACTTCAGATTTAATGTGATTTTTAGTTATATGTTTTAAGGTTGAATTGCTTTCCTCACTATTTAGGTCTTCATGTTTTGGGAACATTAATTACATGTTTACATTCTTTTTATAAAGTTTTTATTGCACATCATCAGGAAAAATGAATCAGAAAATGAAATAACCTGCTATTGAGATGAATAGTTATTTATAGTGAACTTTTAACACAGCTCGTGCTGTGGGACCAATTTTGGTTTCATATTTATCTTAAGAACAATGCACTGGCAGCAGAAAATGATTACTTTAAAATAGTTGTTTATTCTCAAATGTACACTAAAAAGGCTTATGTGTCCTTGGAAGTTGTGCAGTTTGGAAGTTTGAAATAGATTATTGTCTTTTAATCAGTAAATATATATAACAGAGTAAACAAAGCATGGCTGAGGTAGTTCATGATGTCATCAAAGGATTTTGGAGCAAACTTCATGTCACTCCGTGTTCCAGTGGGTTTATTTGGAATTAGTTTACCATGGAATATAAAAATATTGGCCACAGTTTCCAATGAAAACGTGTACTAACTTGTAGATGTTTCAATTAAAAACTTAAGTCTAATATTTATGACTAAATTATCTTTGTCCAAATACTGGGGGGATGTGCCTGAATACTAATTTATATGGCAAAATCTAGATTTATTCTTTAAAAAGTAAACTGCTTGTATTTATACAAATGCTAATATTTTTGTAAGGAAATGGGCAGAGGGCAATAGTGACTCGTGGCTAAATGAGATTAGAGCAGGCCTGTCAGTAGAAGAGGAATGCATTAAACAAGCAGAGGCCTGTAAGGGCTTTATGGAAGCACGCGCAGTGTGTTTCATCACAGCTATAATAAAAGTGATAAACGGGGAGATGGAAATAACCCAGACTGGGGCCAAATGATCACCGTGGTCCTTAGTAGAGTGTCAGTAGCAGCACGCTGCCCTCTCAGCCTTGCCAGGCTTTGCGTTACATTAATTATTAAGAGGGGTTCCATATCAGCTTGGGAAACACCTCATCAATAAAACATTGTGTCATTTTAAGCTTGAGCATGGAAATTGCAACAACTGCGCAAATGGTCGAGAAAGGCTACTGATTCTGTTAGCACCTGCTAACTCTGGGGCTCAGTGATATTATGTTTTCATCTAGTACTTTTGCACTGCTCTGAGCAGTGAATTAGTTGAAGAAAGGCTCATGGTGGTCCCAAGCATCCTTTGCTTCTCGGGGACTCAGAACAGAAGCATTGATACAGTTTTTCAGCTCTCAACTGCATGATTTCTATGCTGATTTTCTGCATTCTGTAAGCTGCTGCCTCAAGGCTGCGAGGAGCAAAGCCTGAAAATGGCTTACTATAATCTTATAGTATGGTAAT